AAATACGAAATATATTTTGAAGCATTTCAATCAATTCCATCAAAGGTGTCAAATCAAATAATAATAATAAATTTATCTGAATACAAATGTATAATTAATTGATTTGATGATTGTATCATTGATGTTATATTCTCTGCCATATAATCAACAATTATTCCAAATGCAATAGAAATAACGTCACGGTATTTCTATCAAGATAAATCACCCAACAAATATTATAATAAAATTTATTTGGAAAACATATATATAAAACCCGCACATGATCATGAAACATACCATCAAAACAAAAAAAAAAACCCAAAACAAATAAAAAAAGAAAATACCACCTCAAGAATACACCAAATGATATTGTTACACAAACAGTATTGTACTATATCAAATTGCGTTACATAAAAAGTTATTCAACTTTATAAAAAATTAATGGATTTAAAAAATCACATTTTACAAAGTGTCTTGGAAATCTAATTTTGATTTATTAAAAAAACAAAACTTGATTTAAAAATCATATAATCAAGAATAAAGGAAGATAGTAAAACTAATCCCAAAAACCTGATCATGTTTAATAATAAAAATTGGGTCCTAACTCATATAATTTAGGTTTTGATACCAAATGTAAGAAATTTCAAGATGAGATTATATGAAATTAGAACACCAAAAGATTTAGGCTTGCTTGTTGAAGACATGATTCTTGATTTCTTGAAGACTTATTGTTTCCTCTGATGCTCCTGCAATGGAAAGACTAGGATCTTCCTCTGCAATTCACATCACTCCCTGATCACAACCGTCGATGGGGCAAGTTGTGGAGTAACGGTTTTTTAACACGTTGTGAATGCAGAGGGGACCTAGCCAAACTTATTAACCCTAGTCCCCTTTCCATCATGGGCCTATGAGTTAGGCCTACACTGTTATCCACACTAATCAGTTTACAGATATCCAAGCCCAAACAAAAGGATCACTTAATTAAATGGACTTTATACTGCACTCCTATATGGATAATGACTTAGCCCGTTTTTATCAAAACAAGAAAAACTACAATTGATTGAAGCTCATAATTATTATAAAAATTTCTATCATGACACACCTTATATTTTTTCACTCTCATAAAGAGATGAGACTCACACCTTTAAAATTTTTTCCACCCATTCTCTCTTATATAATTTATCTTTTTCTCTCATTTAAAATGATACAACTTTATATTTTTTAAAATAATACACATTTTTTCCTAAAGCTTAATTCCCATCTAAACCGCACCTTGGGGCTGAATGCGTTTTACTATTGTTAATGATGATAAACCTCACTTTATAAGACAAAACACTATAAAAGATTCTAGTCATATCCAGTGAGTGACCGCTTTTGAAATTAGGGCTAGTTTGGTAGCTGAATTTTTTTTATTTTTCCGGGATTTCTTGGTTGAGTAAATAAGAATGCATCGTTTGGTACATAATTTTTAAAACTTTTTTGAAAATCTGATTTTTCCGAAATTTTCTTTTGTGTGTAATTTTTTTTGAAAAAATCATCTAGGAATACCATCCAGAAGGTGGTATTTTAAGATTTCTATGGCAAAGGAAAATTTAATACAACTAAACACAACATCAACAAAATTAACTCAATATTTCCGAGAATATATTAGTCTACCAAATAACTTTTTGGTAACACAATACCAAACACTCTCTTACAGTTGTTTAGTTAATAAACTCCACTTTTCAATGTCCCATAATGTGCCACGAAAACTATTTTTGTACCACCAGCACCTAAAAGTAATTTAGGGTTTAAGTTTTATTATGTTGCTGCAAAGTAAAATCTTTTTGCAGCATACACAATCAATGGTGGGGTCTACAGTTGATTAAAAATAAAAATAAAAATGAAGTGATGTGATATTTTTTATGTGTGCTGCAAAATTCTTTTAGTTACTGTCACGTAACAAAACTTCAACCCAAGTAATTTATGTGCATAACCATCATCCTCGATAAAAACAAAGGTTTTAAAAGCATTTTAGCAAATTTGAAAAATAATTATTTTATCAAAATAATCCTTCACTAAATATGCATTCATTTAAAAGCAGCATCCAAAAAATGGTCCCAACTGTAATGTGTAGTCAACTGTGGTTGTCATACTGATGCTTGGAATTTGCAATATGTTCTTTTACGAAACAACCATACAATCAGAAAAAGCTTGTGTCTTTTAAGTGAATAAAGGAAATATCAATTATTAATTGTGTAATTAGGTAAATAAAAATTAAAAAATAACAAAAATTCTAAATAAATACATTTTTTAGATAAATCCTAATTAAGTGCATACTCTCAATAAATATAATTTTTCTTAAAGTAAATATCTCATTAGAGATAAGATTTGAGGTCATTGTAGAAGAGTATACTATTAACAAATAAAATTACAAATTTTTTTAAAATGAATTCTATATTTTTTCTTTACAAGATGAACATTTTTGATTTTTGATTTTTTTTTACAAAAACATATGACCCGACTGGGTCATCGATTTTGCCGAGTTCGATCGGATCCAATGCATGTCGGTTCGATGACCGATTCACTAGGTTCCGGCTCGACCAGACCGGGTTTTGTTACAACTAAATAAATAATTAGGTTAAAGTATTTTTGTTTTTATGTTCAGCGCTTTAATCATTTTATCAGAACAATGACCATTTTGTCACACTTCAGCAAATTATTTACCAGACTGTCACACCAACAGTAAAATTTCCCGGAAGGCCACGCGACATATTTTGCTTCACTGTGCAGGGAAATATGTTTGCATATAATTCGCTCCACAGTGTAGCGAATTATGCCATGTCAGGCTGCACAGTCAGCAAAAATGACACGTGTCAAGCAGGCAACAATACATAATTTGATACACTGTGTAGCGAATTATATGCAAACATATTTCGCTGCACAGTGTAGCGAAATATGCCGTGTGACATTCCAGAAATTTTTATTGTTGGCCTGCTTGACACGTGTCATTTTTACTGACTGTGCACCCTTACATGGCATAATTCGCTATACTGTGTAGCGAATTATATGCAAACATATTTCGCTGCACAGTGTAGCGAAATATGCCGCGTGACATTCCAGAAATTTTTACTGTTGGTGTGGTAGTCTGGTAAATAATTTGCTGAAGTGTGGCAAAATGGTCACAGTTCCCATTTTAGGGATTTATTAATCTCATGTTGCATGAGATGCAACAGAGACAAGATAGTGGGGTCTGCTACTCTTTTGAAAAAAGAAAAACGAAAAAAATAGTGGACCCCACTATTTTATCTCTGTTGCATGAGATAATTATTTCCCACCATTTTATCATCACCGACATGAAATATTAGTTATGCGGTTCTTGTAAAATAAAATTTTATAATTTATTGTTGTTTAAATTCAACAACCAGCCCGTCTAGCTCAGTTGGTAGAGCGCAAGGCTCTTAACCTTGTGGTCGTGGGTTCGAGCCCCACGGTGGGCGTTTATTTTTAGATAATGTTTGCCCAAATTTTAATTTTATCTATATTATGAACTCATAGCATAGGCGTTGTTGCTTGGGTTCGTGGGAGGACACATGTTAGTTTAAAGTCAAACTGCCCAAATGATCAATGTAATAGATAATTTAAGAGTAAACACCTTTTTTAGTATCTGTCAATATCTACGAAGTCCTTTTTAGTCCCTGTCAATAAAAAAAGATCAAATTGGTCCCTGAAATTATAAAAAAAGGGCCATGTTAGTCCTTATGTCAACTTCCAAATATGTAGAGTGTCCCTTTTCTTGTACTTTCAGCGGGACTAAAAAGGGTGTTTACTCATAATTTAAAATGAAAATAGTCACAAATACTCAAACGCATAAGGAAGGGTGAAGAAAGATAATGGCCTTTACAATAAAAGCTCCAACCATGAGTTCAGAACCCAATTGTGTATATTTGTTTTTTCTTCATAAAATATAATACTATTGAGTTCATAATGTTAGTTCATATGAACCTAAGAAGATTATTAGAGGAACGTGATGAAAGATGAAATTTGGGGTGGCTATCATTTTTATTTTATTTTTTTTTGGTTTCTAGATGTCGCCACTTCCATATTCTCTTATATTTTTGTGATTATGCTCGACTCAACCGAGTTACTCGATTAATTGACGAACCAGTAAAGAAATATTTTTTATAAAATATATTTTCTTCTTTATAGTTTGTAGATTACAAGGGCTCTTAAAATAACATATATATTACTAGAAAAATTGTATTTGTTTGTACCCTAAAATTTCCTTGGGTTGGGTGTTTGTGGCTTTAACCTTTTTTTGTGTGTGGACACATGCGGCTTTAACTTTTAAATGGTCATTTCTACAGTTTTACTTTTAACCAAGCTCTAATGAAATGAAATGCCCATTACTCCAAACTTAATACATGGATATAAAGTTCATTGCTTTGGCTATCATTCTAAATTTTCATGGTCAACAATGCCATATCTATGGACCCCGAATTTCCTTTTTCTTTTTATCTTCCAATGAGTGAAACCGTGACATTATAGACAATTTACCATTAACCCTGTTACTTTTTCAATTGTTTTCTTTATCACTATCACATTTCCCCCCTTTCCTGATTCTATTTTCTCCATACTGAACTTGTGACTAGTTCTTATCCTTGGAATAATTCAGCTAGCAACAACCTTGTCAACCCCACCACATTAATGTGTAGACAACAGAGGATATCAATATTCTGACGAGGAAGTTGATGTTCCATAATGCATAAATAGCCCGTGAAGTACATAACTCTGAAAAAAATTGCCACCCCAATAAGTAACGCCACTCCCAAATTTTGTCCATAGAAAACAATGCACTAGTAGTCCCTACAAGCACATGGTAATGGTGGCCCACAAAAATTAAAATGTTACAAAATTAGTATCAAACACCTTACTCTATTTCAATTAATAACTAAGAAGAATTACATTCCTAAGCACCAAAAGAGAGATTCCAAGCTACAAAAGGCCATGTTTGAGAAACAATCTTTATGTTCTAATTTTAGTTAGGAAGATAACACAGTAAACTCAATACGTAGTAGCAAACAAAGTAACAACAAACAAAAAGAGATAGGTGGTTGGAGGTTGGTTGATGAAGAGTGATCAGAGATTTCAGATGAATCCACAGCAAGAGGCATTCCATCACTGTTTAGAGTGCAAGATTGAGGGTCAGAGCCATCAGTGTTCAACATCAAAGCACGAAGAACCCCAGAAACTGTGTGAATATAAGCTGTCTGATTCTTAGCCAGAAGCCATGTCAACCCCATTAGCTCACAATCTTTGTTGTGGATCTTGGTGGTCCTTTCTTCTGCTTTGCTTGAATTTGAAGTCTTCTTGTTAAGCTACGTAGAAGTAATATTTCAATTAGAATATCAAACAGAAGTGGCATATATGAGTGATTGTGCAAGAGAGGTTTGGTGCACCAAAGCTTCTTAAATAATAACATCTTGGTTGGTGCAACATCCACTCATAGAAAAATGGTCATAGCTGCACATTAAGGCTAAAAAACTACCTAATCAAAGATGTTGTTAATAGTGTGACAAAATGCAATTATTGATTTATTTATTTTTTTAGGGAAGCATCAATCCAGAATAATATCTTCAAATGCAACAAACAACATTTGTTACACCCTGCATAAGACATAATATTTTTAGATAATAATGTAAGGTTATGAAACAATTGCAAGGATTTTAGCTATAAGGGACCGCACTTCTGCAAACTGCAAAAAATCAGAAACTAGAGAGAAAAGTCCAACATAAGTTGTCATCTAATCCTCAAAACTGTATGCTAAGTTGGAAATGTGATTCTGATCAATGTCAGACAATAAGATGAATAACTCAGAAGATTCAGAGGGATTTTACTCATTCGATGCCAATTTATAAGGTACATAGTACATGCGACAGAAAAAAAGCAAGAGATTAAAATTAAAATTCTCTGTTATGAAACCATCATTTATGACTGGGGCAGGCAAAGAGCAAGAACAGTAAAATTGTTTGAGGCCTTTAACATTTAACAAATAACACTATTTGTAGTAATAAATTAAGCTTGTTTCATATATGATCATATTGGTTGAGTCAAATTTCTGCTTAATCCAAAAAATTCCGAGCAATTAATTTGCAACCAAAGTTATCAAAAAAAAAAGAAAAAAAAGAAGAGAATTACCAAAAAGAACTACTGCTAACTCAACTGTCCTCTTAATACCAAGAAACCAACTTCAATTTATTTTTGAAGCAACAAGATAGCTACATTGCATATGCTTAATAATTTCTGGCTATGTTCAGGTTCATTAAAAACTTTATTTTAAGACACTACAGTCTAGTCCTTTTTTCCCCTAAATTTTCAAGTGACAAAAATGGTTGTTGTGCTACAAACTGTACCACTAATCCATTATTGGTACTGTTCATGTTGGTGACCCACACAACTCCAAAGGCGCATAAAGAATGGTGCACAACTTAGAAAGCAACCAATATACAATCAAATAAAAGCAAGAAACAACTTTCCTAATTACCAAGCATGAAGAAGATGAAGATGAAACCCTAATCATCTTGTTCTTCTTTAATTTTCAACAAGATTCATCAAAATGACCACCAAAACAGACAGCAGAGAGAAAAAAAAGATTTTTTTTTTAATTTATAAAGAAAACTCACCAAATAGAGACTATTTAAGCACTTAGAACACCCTCCAAGACCAGGGAAGCCATTGACATTTGTGGTGCTACTCAAACAATTCTTCTCTAATCTTCTCACACTTGCATCCCCAACAAGTTTCCCACTTTGGGAAACTGAAAATGCATCACTGCAGCTCAAAGGGTGCAACCTGATGCCACAGTAGCAATACACCACATCACAAGTCTCATTTGGCTTATTCAGCTCAACCCCTCTCACTTTCAAAGCCTCTCCCAATCCATTCACACATGTTTCTGAATCATCAGGCAACAAGGGCATGTCATATGATGATGATGATGTTGTTGTATGGCTTTGGCTATGGCTTATTCTGCCAAGTGCAGTGGCAGAATATGCATAGTACAACCATGCTGCAAGCACAGGGCAACACCTGCTACGGTGGAGCTTCATGTCAGCACCACCATCTTTGGTGGCACCACATGCACTCTTTATCCCATCAACAAACTCATCAGATAGCTTCAGAGGACACCCTGCAACATCAGATTGTTCTGGGAATGCAGGGATTGTTGCTGGCTGAGATGGGCTTTGGAAAATTGGCTTAAGGGTTGTTGCTGAATCATCAGGGTCAGGGAGACACAGATAACTAGGGAAGATAATGCACAAGAAAAGGGTCATCATGAATAGTGTCCATGGCAATGACATGGTGTTTGAGAGGGTCTAAGGCTGAGGTAAATGGCAGAAAGTTCTTGTTTTTCTAACTGAAAAGAAGAGAATATTGGTGTTGGTTATATGGGTAGTAGGAAGCAAAGGGAAAGTGAAAGGGAAAGGAGAAAGGGGAAAGACAGAAAAATAAAGTGTAAAAAGCTGGTAGGGTTCATAAAAACCAAAAATAAAAAAATAAATAAAAAAATTGGTGGGGTTGAGCAAAGTTTGGCACCATGTTATCTTGTTTAGATCTAAAACTTTCACACTCAGCAAAAGTTAACAGCATGGGATTAGCATTTAGTATAATGACCAAATCATTCATGGAAGAACTACATTTGATTTGGGGGTGTGGATTTGTGTGTTTTTACTAAAGTTTCATTTTATGTTAATGTTCTGTTCTCTCTCTCTCTTCTTCTTTTATTTTATTTTAATTTTACCCTCTTTTTTTTTTGGGTTTTGAAAACTATCATCTTTGTTGTTGTGCCGTGTTTTGATTACCATGTATAAATATCAGTAGCTTAAATGTATTTAATGCATGGCGTTGTGTCTGCAGAGGGATGGTTAGAGTTTTCACATGTTTGGAGGGTTCTTATTCAATATAGAAATGCCCATGTCCTAATTGTTTTCACCAGCAGTTGTTGGAACCTTTATTCTTCTCTTACTAGTCGTTCCTAAACATGGAAGACAATTATGTAATATCTATGCCTTTTTCTGTGGTGTAAAAGGGGCTAGGGAGTTTTTTTTTTTTTTTTAATAGGTGAATAGTTATATCCTATTTTACAACCCTTGATCATAATATTTATTTCCTTGATGAATTGTGCAATGGGGATAAAAGAGATTATTATTGGCACATATGAGATGGTGAATTACTAAAGTATCTAAAAATTGTTGTTATACTAGAAAGAAAAATAATTAAATAAATACATTAGCTAGGACAAAGACATTGTTTGAGTTCAAATGTGAAGGTTGCCTATTGGTATGTTCTTGTTAAGTTCTTTCTTGATCTTAAATTAGAACAATCATTCTCTTACCTTAAAATTTCACATATCAAAAACAAAAATGAAAAAGACTTGAAGCAAGTCAATTCTCCAAACCTTGAAAACTCCATTTCTAATGTTCGGATGATCATAGTGAGATTTTACTAGATAATAATTCTAACTAGATTTCATTCTATTCCAACGAGAGGCATCAATTCCGGATTCAAAAGCCAAAACAATTGGCTTTCTCCCTATTTAACTTTAGAAATGATCCTTTTATTGTCCTTCAATTTTGCCTTTATTCTTTTCTTTTCCCCTGGATTGCATCTTTGAACAAAGTTGTGGTTTCAGAAGCATGTCAAGTTCATTACCTGTTTTATATTGTAACTTTTGTTTTTTTATTAAATTTTGCTATGTTTTTTTACAACAACTAACAATTTTCTTTATTACAAAAAAGTCAAGGGTGCGGTTGTTTCATTTTCATTTTCATTTTCCTTTTCAACTTTCATTCTCTCCGGATTAGGATGGATAGTGGGGATACCTCAAATCATGTTTATCGAAAATATAACAAGGAGATTCTAGTTGTGAATTTCCATATATTCCTTTTGAACTTAATAAGGTCAAATGGTCAATCTCTTATTTTATTTTTTTCACTTGTCTTTAGGGCCATTATTTGAAACATCTTGTTACCTCTTGCCAAAGGGTATGTACTATTTGGCCATGAGCCTTAGTGCTTGAGTCTAGTTGTCGATGAGCAATAAGCTTTAATTATTTACTTGAAAAAGTAAAGAAATTGCTGGCCAGAGGTAGTAACAAAGTTCAGCAATTCCATTGGACTTATAAAACTTGTATTTTAATAATCCCCATCATAGAATCCTGTACAAGATATATATAATTCTTTGAACTTCGAGTTGTTTTTTTGTTAGACAAGAAAAATCCCGACCCTTTCATAATTTTCCTTTTTTCCATTGAGAAATCCGAGTTGCGTTACAGTTGTGCTTAATAAATTGGGTACATATTCCATAAGTATTTATCTGTTTTTTTTGTTGTTCATATTTTGAAATGCTTATAGTTTATACTTTTACTATTTGTTTAATTTTTATATCAATACAAGTGGGATATATACTACAATGATTAGATAAATAATAATATTTTGCCGTGTTTTTTAATAACTAAAATGGGCTCATCAAACATTAGTGTCTTCAATCTAATTTAGGATTTGTTTTTGTTGAGAATATAATTCAATATCTACCATCGGTACTGATCATTTATAATTGTGGGCTTTTTAGAATTATGTATTGTTACTCATTTTTTAATATGATTACATTAAGGGTAAAATGTGTGTCATTTTAAAAGATGTAAAATTATGTCATTTTAAGAGAGAGAGAGAGATAGATAAAGGAGAAGAGATAGTTGACAAAAAAAAATAAAGGTGTGGGTCCCACCTCTTTGTGAGAGTGAAAGAATATAAGTTGTGTCATTTAAAAGGATAAACACTTTTCTCTTATATTAAATAAGCAATAAAGTAATTACCAAAAAAAATAAAATAAGCAATAAAGTACAAAGATGATTCAGGTTGTTATTATCTAAAATTTAACTCATTTGTTTCCAGATTACTAGAGAGATTTCTTTGTATTTTTTTCTGGTAGGGAATTCTTAGTACTTTTAAGTTATAAATTTCTTGTAGTTTTTATGTTGATATTGTATTTTTTATATATTCATACTTCGTAATTCCATGCCATTTTAATCATGAAGTGGAAGCAGAAATCTTGAGAATTTGCCATATCAATGAAACTGTAAGGTCTAGATTTAATCAGTTAATGGCTTTGTTTACGATGCAGGCTAATTAATAATCATTTCCATTAATTCTAAAGTCCCGATTTAATACAATATTCAAATAGCCTTCAATATTTTATGCTCCTGAGTTTGTTTTATGCATAACTATGAGCACAGTCCCCAAAGTTGTAAAATGTATAAGCTCAAAAACTTTTAAGAGAGGAAAGTGTTTTGACTCTTCTGCCTCCTTTTATGTATAGAAATTTTGCCTTTGACTGTTATAAAAATCTTTCAAATTTTTTTCCGGGACGTTTGGTAGAGAGTTTTTTTTATCCAAAAATTACGATTTTTAGGAATATGATGAGAAAATGAGTTTTCTGAGAATGTCACCAAAAAATTGTTTGGTAGACTAAAATATTTCCGAGAATTTTGAATTAATTTTCTTAATGCTATGTTTATTTGTATTAAATTTTTTTTTGCCATAAAAATCCTAAAATACCACCCATTGGATAGTATTTTTGGATGGTATTTTTAAAAAAATTTATACACAAAATAAAATTCTGAGAAAATTAGATTCCCAGGAAATTTTTTAAAAATCTTGTACTAAACGTGGATAAATAAGATTACCACTTTTCAGTTTTTCAGGAATCTAAAAAAAAACCCTTGTACCAAACGGTCTAGAGACGTTTGGTAGAGGGGATATTTTTTTTTACCGGAGAAACATAATTAATGGGAATATGGTAGGAAAGTAAGTTAGCTGAAAAAGTTTAAAAAAAGATGTTTGGTTTACCGAAATTTTATCAAGAAAATTTATTTAAATTTGTAAAATCTATATTTGGTTGAATGTAAAATAGTGATGAAAAAATTGGTTGAATTGACCAAAACACCCTCGTTATCAATATTTTTTAAACGAACCACGGCCTAAAAGTGAGAGTCCAACGTCAATAACTTGGTTTCCTTACTTCTCCACCTATCCTAAAATACCACACTCAAAGTCATATTTGTGAACAATTAAATAACTTAGTTTCAGCAAAAAAGCAACGTAAATCTAATTGCCTAGGTTTCCTACTCTGCTAGTCTTTTTTTTTTAAAAAAAAAACTTGAACTAAATGTGACTTTTTTTAATATCCATTCACATTTTCTCATCAAACTCAAATGAAAACCTGTACCAAATACACCCCTACTAAATTCTACTTCCAAAGGATGTAGGATTGTAGGCTAGAATATGAACAATAATAATATACGATGTGTAACGCCCGGCCGCTTCAAGAATTAACGACTATCCCCACATACTAACACGAGACTTTTCAGTGTGCTTTTTCCTCACTCGCACACTTCCTGAGAAAACTTCCCATGAGGTCACCCATCCCAAAATTGCTCCAAGTCAAGCACGCTTAACTGTGGAGTTCTTCCGTTCTGGGCTACCGAAAAGCAGATGCATCTTGTTAGTATAGGTAGTACCAATTAAATCTAATTGCCTAGGTTTCCTACTCTGCTAGTCTTTTTTTTTTTAAAAAAAAACTTGAACTAAATGTGACTTTTTTTAATATCCATTCACATTTTCTCATCAAACTCAAATGAAAACCTGTACCAAATACACCCCTACTAAATTCTACTTCCAAAGGATGTAGGATTGTAGGCTAGAATATGAACAATAATAATATACGATGTGTAACGCCCGGTCGCTTCAAGAATTAACGACTATCCCCACATACTAACACGAGACTTTTCAGTGTGCTTTTTCCTCACTCGCACACTTCCTGAGAAAACTTCCCAGGAGGTCACCCATCCCAGAATTGCTCCAAGTCAAGCACGCTTAACTGTGGAGTTCTTCCGTTCTGGGCTACCGAAAAGCAGATGCATCTTGTTAGTATAGGTAGTACCAATTAATTCTTATAAGCTATTCCAAACTGTGCAGTCTCACACCTGCACAGTCTTTGGAATCCCTCTCTTTCGGGTGTCGATTCGAATCATTCATGCATGTAACCCCACGCTAGAAGCCTGTCAGGAGCCGCTCTTTGTCCATGCCTCTTTGCACCGGCGATCACTCCCCGCCCTCGTTAGCGCTCGGGATGTTACACGATGGAGTGTAAAATCCTATATTCTAAGGATCACTATGCAATATCCTAGGTTCTCTGCAAAATTTACTAATATTGTTTGTTTTCTAGTTCTCTTTCTAGCAGGCTTTGAGGAGGTAGGAGCTGCAGGAGACTAGCACGCTTTGCAGTTTAAAGCTGCTAAGGAGACTTATAGTAGCAAAGTAAAAGGCCTCACTCTCTTTCTTATTATGGAACTTTTATTTCATCAACCAGCTAGTGGTG